TGTATTATTTTTTACATTTTAAAGGAATAGTTCACACAAAACTGAAAATTTGCTGAATATTTATTTACCCTCAGACCATATAAGATGTAGATTAGCTTGGTTCTTCATTTATTCGTGTTTGAACTCTCATTCTGATGGCACCCATTCACTGCAGAGGATCCATTGGAGAGCAAGTGATGTAATGCTGAATTTCTTCAAATCTGTTTAAAGGAAGAAACAAGCACATCTATATCTTGGATAGCCTGAGGGTGAGTACATTTAAAGCACATTTTCATTTTTGGGTGAAGTTTTCCTTTAAGATTGGGATCCTTCAGAAAGCTATATAGAGATGTAGTGGTTACCCCATTACCGGGAACAGCACATTTACTGGACTTCCTGCACATCTAAATATTCATATGAATGGTAGTATCTTCTTCTGGGGCTGAATTACTGATCTGAGTTAAGATCTGCAGGTTTCTAACTGAAATTGCTATGGTTCCTGAACAGTTAAGATATTCTAGAGTCAGGATGTTTCTGTAATAAGGCCCCTTGTGTTTAGGAATAATAAATAGTGTCTTACTTCCTCATTACTTCACAGTGACTAGTGAATAGGTGTTGATGTGTAAATGTGGCCAGATGTTAATTTGCCTGTAGCTCATAGCTGTGACATCACACCTTTTGAGAGTATGTCTAAATTTAGAGTAAGGGAAAGCAAGAGAAAATGAGTTTTCCATGATGTGACCCCTTACTTAAAGATGATATAAGTAGCCAGGTTGTTTTGAGAGAATTACCTGAATTTTAAATGTAATTTGATTAATTACTCAAGAGCTGTATACAGCAATTTATATGGTAATGCTGATTAACTAATGGCACCACAATAACAAACACAGTCCTAAACCTTTCAGTAGCTGTTATCCTGAGCTGTGACATCAAAGACAGCAGACAGGGAACATAACCCTCTTTAAAGGCAGGGTATGTGATTTTTCAAAAACACTTTAGAAAACTGATTCGGGCCGAATCGCAAAACAAACTTGTAGCCAATCAGCAATAAGGGGCGTGTCTACTCGGGAGAGAGCTGAGAGAGCTTTCAGTGCATGGAACGGACATTAGCCGAGCCGAGCGACAGAAAGATAGAGAACGTCTGCGGAAAAACAAAAGAGGAAAACGTCTGCGGAAAGATAAGGCAAGAAGTAGGACCCGTGTAAAATATTGGATCAGCTTTCCAGTGCTGGAGAGAACTCAAGGAGCGGAGGCCTGCGATCGGACGCCGAGGTTGCTTTGTTTACACTGGACGCGATCAAAGGGCCGTTGAAAACCCTTTGAAATTTGTGTCAGCACGTCATAAATAAAACCCGGCAGCAGTTTCCTTGCCGCGCCGCTCACGTCCGTAGACATGGTGTAACATTGGTTTTGCTTTGTTTCACAGAACTAATCGTTGCCTGGGTTGCGTACGTATATGTGGGGCGGAGCTATCAAAATAGGGGCAAGACCCTTTTGGGGTAGGGGCGTGTTTGTTTTGGTGATTTCAAATATCAACATTGGCTACCAGAAATCGCTTACTCTGCCTTTAACAACAACAATACTACTACTACTACTACTATTACTACTACTAATATTAATAAATATTTAAGAATAATTGCTGTTTAAGTGTCAATTTCCTTCAGTATTGTTAAGGCAGTATCATCGTAATAATAATAATAATAATAATAATAATAAGAATTATTATTGTTGTTGTTATTGATTATACTGCCTAAATGAGACTGATGAGATAAGCCTAAGAGGCCTAATCATTTTTATGCCTCTTTTTGTTCATAATATGCAATCGGTTTTATTTTCTCTGTCTCTATGGCAGTCATGTACAGCCACAACTGCCACAACTAGTACTTGCACTGCAACAACTGCCACAACCAGGTCTGCAAGTACGCTTCTTTCAGCAATGCCATGACATTTTAATCAAAGCCTGGATCCAGTTTTACATTGTGTTTTTGGTTTGACCTTATCTGTCCTCTCATATATGACCTGAATAACATCGCAACATGATATTAGGTGTCATGAATCCGATCCATGAATTTCCATCCACTTGCCACCAGAGGTCGCCCTTCCATGATATTGACTCTCGCACCACACAGACTGTTACACATCATAGACTTTTTTTGTGATGGAGTAAATGAACCCTTAAGGTCACGATTAATCCATGAGGGTCCCCGTTCTTCTCTAAGCTATTTTTTGGATTTTGCTCTGCTGTGTGTCGACTCCGTGTTCACGGTGGGGGTTGCGGAGAAACATGACGCCGAGTCCGCTTGTGTAATGGCAGCCACACTAGAGCACGCTCACAAAATGGTGGCGACAGCGGACGCAACAGCACCCCATTATGTCACAGCTGGTCTTCATGAACCAAGTCAAGTCACAGCTTATCTTCA